AGTGCTAAATCCCCAGTGCTTGCGCCATCTAATGAATGCATATTGAGCAACCTGTAATCAACACTGTATCAGTGAATTACTTGAATGAAATAAAAGCCATGGTCCAGTCGAGTTATATGGGAAGAAAATATCTTTTGTGCAATGCAGCCTCATGAAAGTGGTTAATGTTGTGCTTGTGTGAGTAGATCTAGGCTTTACAGTGCACATTTATAAAGCACAGGCTGTCGTGTATACAGCCGATTAGTAAGTCTTGTGGCTAACAGTGCATGCTGGGAATTGCTAATTAAGGATGTCCGGCAGAGACTCAACTCTCCTCCCTCCTCTCTGGCAAAGAATTACATCCTGTCTATCCGCAGAGCTATCCAGAACATTCTGCTTCTGCTCAACTCCCCTTCTCTCCCTCTCCCTCTCTCTGAACTGCTCTCTGAATTGCTCAGAATTGCACAACATCAAGGCATTATCAGCCTAAGCATGCAAGATTTCTGAAAATGAATTATGTTGTATTTACAGCAATCTTAACTGACCTGGTCATTCCCTATTGTGAAAAGGATTATCTGTATAGCTTTGTACATTCACATTATCTGCATTGTTAAAATGAATACTTTCCACCTCAAATATATTGGTGTATCTCCTGCGTGCTAACATATATTTGCTGCTTTAAGTGGGTATGGGCTTGCACACTTTAAGACCTAATTCAGTTATTTAGTGTATTTCATAAGAGCTTGTACCTGTTACTATTATACATCCTCCTTTAGTTTTCATAATCTATACATGTCCTCGCTTCTCTTTGTAGTACTTTCCTTTAAAACCGATGTTGACATTAAAGGAAAAGTGAAATTTAAAACCAAATGCATTTATCCTTTAGGCCCCTTTTAAGGTGTTGTCACTGCTCTTTTCCTGTGCACAGAAGAATATTTACCAGGTTCCAACTGGGCTGGCCTGGGTTGATTGTTTACAGCCTGTAGAGCTGCAGCTAACGATTATTTTCAAAATCGATTAGTTAGCCGATTATTAAGTTCGATTAATCGGTTAATCGGATAAACAATGCATTTTAAAAAATGGCTCCAGTGATGGACTACACCTGCAGTGGACATCTCCTTCAGTACTGCGCAGGTGCAGCCAGGAGAAGGACACGTCCACTGCAAGATGTAAAGGAGGCTGAGCCCCTCGGAATTCAACAAGTATTTGTCTGCGCACATGGAGGGAGGGAGCTGTGATGCCACCTTAAAGGGTCAAATGGATAAGTGCAATTTGTATTACAATGCGCTTATCCTTTAATACTCTGATGCAGCAGAACATGGAATAACATAACTTCCTTCTATACAGCTGACAACAGTCATTTTTTACATTTTACTGCTTAGTTTAAAGGAGAACTATGAGGTGAGTGCTTAGTAGATCGGGAGGTGAGTGAACACATACCGGCGTTCGCTCACCTCTCGATCCTGTCACGGCTCTCTGCCATGACAGGGGAGGGGCTGGATTCCCCCCTCCCCGCTCCGATCCACCAGCGCTGACTGGCGGAACGGACAGGGGAGGGGGCGGGTACAGCTGGCTCTGCCTCTAGATAGGCAGAGCCAGCTGTCAGTCACGCAGCTGGGCGGATCCCGGCACAATTGTCGGGATCCGCTTCAGCTGCGGCGTCTCAGTATACGGTATACTGCGGCATCTCAGTATACCGCGAGCTACAGCTCGCGGTATACTGAACCTAGGGTGACGGGAGGACGCTAGTTTGTGTCCTCCCGTTACCCTAAGGAGAACTATGGGGAAAAGCCCTGACCCCATAGTTCTCCTTTAATGAAAAAGTATTAAAGTATACCTGTCATTTACACCTGGATTTTCCAAACTGTTCATATGATTTAAAGATGAGAGTGAAAACCACATGTCAAAGCAATTAGCAAATCAAGAGACATGGCAGCGTAAATCTCAAGTTTCCCAGTGAGGGTCAGGCTAGGCCCTCCACTATCCTTCCTCCAAAGCATCCCTATTGGTGCATGGACACACTGTGCTCTATTTCCACCTTTTAGTGTGAGGTAGCATCGTCCCACCATTGCTCCTATTTGCTAGAGACACGTGGTTACACCCAAGTTAGCACTGGCTGCCACCTACTGTAAGCCAGTCACCTCTTGCCATTGCAACCTATCCTGTTTCCTGGTATACTCCGTTAAGTTTTTTACCTTGTTGTGCAACATGCTGGATCACAAACATAATAGGAGCAGTCCCGTTGAATCATGTCTGGCTCTCAACCCACTAACAGCTTTAGGGTGGTCTGCAGTGTTCCCCTATTAAGTACCTGACACCAACAGCCTGCAACCCTGAACTCTGTTTGAATCCTTACATTCATCGAACGCCTCCTAGGCAGGACCTGGGAGGATTATACCACAGTTATGCAGAATTTTAGCCGGACACCAAAGACCAGGTTGTCTCTAGCCTGGTGGCTCAGGATTCCAGCTCTGAAATTGGGGAAATTATTCCTTCAGATCTTTTGGAAGATAATCACATCGAATGCCAGCTTCACTGGCTGGGGAGGAGTCTTAGACACCCTGATGGTCCAGGGTACTTGGACGCTAAAGGAATCTCAACTTGTGATCAACATTCTGGAGCTTTGAGCAATACGAGTGTCTCTACAACACTAGGTTTAATGGCAGGAGTGTCTCCGGATCAGAATCCAAAGTCTGACAAGATCAGACTCTTGGCATACGCTCCCTAGGCTCTTCTAGATTGTCCAGATTTTCTGTCGCAAGGACAGATCTACTGTCGTACATTACGGGTTCTGGCTTTAGCGGCATGGCTGTTGAAGCCCAGGTGTCCCTTATTTTATGGGACATGGACCTCTCCGACTTGGTGATTCCCATGATATAAAAAGATAAGAGGTCAATTTCTGCAAGATTTACTGCACATGGAAGGCAAACTTTGCTTTGTGCAAGGAAAGGAACCTTCAGCTCAGAAAATACTTTGTGGGGTGAATTCTGACTTTATACAATCAGGCCTGGCTCAACAACTAATAAGGGTCAAATTTCAGTGCTTGCAATCTTGTTTTAAAGACCATTAGCCTCTCATTCTGTGATTAAGACCTTTGTGCATGGCATTTCTCATGTGTGCCCACCTGTTTCTCCATGGGACCTTTGAACTTTTCAGGGATATTCCATTTTCCACACTCATTCACAAGGCTGTATTCCTTGTTGCTATAACCACTGCAAGGCATTTTTCTGACATGGCAGCCTTGTCCTGTATTTAAAACATTCTGGTCCTAGACAAGGACAAGGTGGTGTTAAGACACAAATCTTCCTTCCCAAGGTGGTCTGGGCCTTTCAGCATTCACCTCTATTTCAGCTCAGTGTACAGCTACCTTGCAGTCACTGACTCCATTAGAAAGACTGACTACCTCTTTGTTATCTTTGATAGTCCCCATTAAAGGGAACCAACTTCTTGTTCCACCATTTCATGGTGGATTAGACAAAATATAATTCAAGCTGATCTTAAGTATTGGGTTCTACCCTTTTCTTGTCAGGGCACACTCTTAGATCTGTGAGTCCTTCTTGGGATTTTCAGGACCAGGCAACTGTTTCCTTGATTTGCATGGCTGCTACCTGGTCTTCTGTTTACAGGTGCATGTCTGAGCCTCTTCTGATGACAACTTTGGGCTTAAGGTCCTTCAGGAGTGTCTTTGAGCAGCAGGCAGTTCCCAGTTTGTTTTTTGTTGGGCTTGTTAGCGTTTTGTTTGCTGTGTTGCCCACCCCTCAGTTGGATGTATTTTTTGACATATCAAATGTCACTGAATCCTGTGTCCCTCAGTGTACAAAAAAGAATACAGGATTTCTATGCTCACTATAAAAATCCTTTTCAAGAATCATTGAGAAACAGAGGTGCCACCCCTCTGTTTCTGTGTTATGGTCTTGCTCTCTGCATTGCTTTGTTACAAAACTGAGGCATGCTTGAAGTGGGAGGGGTTATACCAGGCTGGTCACTGTGGGGTGTGTTTTTTTTTTTGGTTTGTCAGCGTCCAACATACTCCTGTTGGCAGAAATATAACCCTAATGTCACTAAACCCTATGTCCCTAATATATTGCAACTTACCAGTCCTTAGATGTGGTGGCCGCATTATTTTTCTTTTTCCAGGCTTCATTTTCACTTGTTAATTCTGCCAGTAACACACTTCCTCACCTAAGGCTACAAAGCTCACTAACTTACTGTATCTCTTGAGAAGTGTTGCCATCCTTGAACTCGACTACAGAATACCTCCCCATCTCCTCTTTTTAATATCATATGAGGTAGTCCTCACAGATAACCTGTGCTGCACTTACATTGTTCCCAGCTACCAGCAGACAACATTTCTGGTAGTATCAATATTTTTGCAAACATATACAAAACTTTTTCAGTGGTATTTGTAACGGACCAAATAAGAGAAGTTCATTTTTAGGGTTTACATACACCTGGGTATTAACCCGAATGCTCTTTGAAAGGTGAAAGAAACCAGGGACCTTTGACAAAACCAACACAAACAAGGAGAATATACATACTCCTGCTAATAGTTCCTGGGTGGATTTGAGCCTAGGATGTTGTGTTACAGGGCAGCAGCGCCCATGCAATGCTGTGCAGTCTGTATACAACACATTCATATATCCAATGCTTGCATCTTGTTCATTCTTCATGTGCTTGCATCGCACCAGTCTAGACATAACAAAACGACACATGCTTGTGTTTAGTTATTTCATTTAATATGGACCACTGGATAAGCACAGGAGGGTTACTGGGTGATAATGTAAGCACCTCTAATATGTATATGTTGGATGTAAAGGCTTTTTGTCAAATCAGGCTAGCCGTTACAGCTTTGTTAAAAATTGAATTACAGTGGAGTTTTTCACAGACCCACAAAAAGTCATCCTTTGAGAGCTGAGCTGGTTAAAAGACAGTGCTGTATGTTCAGTCCTCTCTTAGTGGATCATTGTATTAGTCAACCTATCTGTTTGAAGCACTTTAACTTTTTTTCTCTTTTCCTTCAGAATGCCTCTTGTAGCGCGTTGCATCGAGCCCCGCTATTTGTGCCGAGAGAAGATTCCCACTGTCCGCAGTGAACTAGAATGTATGACCAACATCACCCTATCCAATGTCATCAGACAGCTGGGAAGTTTGAGTAAGTTACAGTTGAGGAAAGAAGGGGCAAACTTGTGTATCAAGGAGCAGTGGTGCACTTCTTGCTATGTGGATTTGATGGATGTTAGAAATTCACTACTATAGAGTTAAATGTAGTACTGGATGAAAAAATGTGATGGATCATGGTAATTGTCTGTCTCTTTCAAACGTATTGAAAAACTAACTGTGGTATGTTGACCAACACAGACAAAAAAAGTACCTGCTTTGTAGGGCTGCAACAACTAATCGACATAATCGATTATAATCGATTATTGAAAAAGTTGTCAACTTTTTCAATCATCGATTAATCGGCTTCCAATTAGTTGGCCCTGTTCACAGCTCCACACACGCTGCGCGCCGCACCTCCTCCCTACCTCATGCTCGCTGCTGCCAGACCGGCCCGCATCCACGATCCACACGCTGCACCTTCTCACTGCCCGCCCACATCCACGATCGGCACAGGGACCCGGGGAGAAGTAAGGAGGAGCAGGTGTGGTGGGATGACAGCCGCCGATAGACAGGACCGATCTCAGAAGCAAGTTGCTGGAAGACTGCTCAGGTAAGCCTGCACTTTCCCCCACATGGTGCTCTATAATGTATTGCTGGGATTTGTATTCCTCTATAGCTGATGGTACATTGTGCTGTATATTATACCATCAGCTATAGAGGACTACAAATACCAGCAATACATCATACACTGTATGTATAATGTATTGCTGGGATTTGTTGTATTTCAATATAGCTGGTGGTTTTCTGCATTGCGCTGTATAGAGGACTACAAATCCCAGCAATAATACATTATACAGCGCAATGCGGAATACCACCAGCTATGGAGGACTACAAAACCCAGCAATAATACATTATACAGTGGTGCAATGCCGAATACCACTAGTTATAGAGGACTAGAAAACCCAGCAATAGTATACCAGGACTAGAATACCACCAGCTATAATGTACAATTGCTGGGTTTTGTAGTCCTCTATAGCCGGTGCCATTCTGCATTCATTGCTGTATAATTTTATACTTTTCATTTCACTATATTGTACACCACACTTTTTTTTTTTTTTTTTACTTTCACCGCTCCAACCTTGCTCCTGTGATGGACTGCAATCTCAATACAAACTAGTAGTCCCATCACTAGAGCCATTTAAAAAAATTATTTTATCCGATTAATCGAACTCAATAATCGGCTAACCGATTTTGAAAATAATCGTTAGCTGCAGCTCTACTGCTTTGATGAGCACAGCACTCCATCAAAAATTGCTTGATACCCAGTATTGTAGCATTTAAAAGTCTTGAACTTTCTTGAAGAATTTGTCAAAGTAGAAATTGAATGCTCAACTCCAGACCCCCCTGGCCTCTCCAGAGCCTTGATGCCCCTGGCTCATTGGAAGTGGGTTGAATGATGCTTGGTGTCGTTAAACCTGGAAGAGGGTTGGCACTGTATCGCTGGATTAGTAAGTCTGCAGGCGACAGTACAAGACTTTGAGTACTGCAGCTGGAGCTTGATTTAAAAAAAAAAAAATTTTAAAAAGCTGATGGGGATTTTTGCTTTTAGTGCCTAGAGACAGTTGGCCTTTAACATACTGAAATTGTCCTGTATTTGTATTAAAATATAAGATATACCTAGTACCCATTGACCATTTCATTTACGGGCCCGCGAAGACCACCAGTGGTAAATCTGACCAATAAATCATTAAGTCTGTAGTATTTTTTTTTAGTTAGTCTCTGTTTATTGCTTTCTGAATGGCTATTAAGGGTATTAATTACCAGGTTTTGTTGTAACGCTTGTCATCAGAACTGAATGAGGGGAAATAAAATCATTTACAGTTTTCACAGGTACAGTAGAGGGAATAATCCAGAGGGGACATTATGTAGTATTGATTTTGTTCATGTATATATTTGTACATATTTATGTTACGCATATATTATACATACACAGTTTTTCCAAATAAATTACCCTCTCTAATTCTGTTTCATTTTTCAATTTCTAGGTCGCTATGCAGAAGACATATTTGGAGAGCTGTTTGTTGAAGCAAGCTTGTTTGCTCAGCGTGTGGGAATGCTGGGTGAGAGAGTGGAAAAACTACAGGTCAAAGTGACCCAGCTTGATCCTAAAGAGGAAGAGGGTATGTTGTTTGGAAAGATACTCAATTAAGGAAAATAAGAACTAGTTCTCTCTATATTGTTTGTTAATGGAAGCATTGTAATTCACCAGTGCCATATGGTTTGTGGTACGATAAAGAAACATTTACTGACAATACGCAGCTCTTGGAAAACTACCTGTTTTGTTTTCATCAGTCTCTTTAAGTGTTTTTTCTTTGTGTCCAGTTTCTCTGCAGGGCATAAACACGAGAAAAGCATTTCACAGTAATACCATGCAAGATCAACAACTCTTTGTACGCGATTCTCTGTCAGTTCCTGTCTGTGAAACATATGCTACCTGTAACATGCCACCACCACTTAACATCCTCTCTCCATACAGGTAATAAGGCCTCTGGTTATAATATGTGTAGTGTATGTATATGCTGTTTAAGACTTTGTCTTAAAAATCTTGTTTCCTGCCTTTTACAGGGATGATGGAAAGGAGGCCTTGAAGTTCTACACAGACCCATCTTACTTCTTTGACCTGTGGAAAGAACAGATGTTGCAGGACACAAAGGATATCATGAAAGAAAAACGCAAACATAGGGTAAGTAGTAGAATGGTGTAAGAGATGGCACTGCTTAGATATTATTGTTTTATGTTAGCTCAAATAGTTTTGTTATGATAACTTGTAAACTACCTAAGATGACGTGGGGGTTACTGGGGAAGATATGACAATAGCATTTATTGCTGTATCCTTAGGCTTTGTTGCACAGATTTGTTGATGTAGAAGTCTCTTGCCAAGTACTGCAGCTGCTGACCCATGTTGTCTAAGTGGGAACCATTAAAGGCCTTTCTTTTTGAATAAAAAAACTGGCACATGCAGTGACATCTAGCAGAGAAAGTGCTGAGCTCCGTACTTTTAAATAATTGAATCTCTTTGATGAGAGTAAGGCCAACATAGATAGCCAAATTCCTCACAGAGAGTGATGGACATTGAGAACATCTCCAGTTTTGACATGAATATGACGAGTCCCAAGGCATACAGTGATCATTTCCCCATCTCAGTAGACAGACTGGGAATGGGATAAACCTGTGGTTTACACTTTCCCCATGGAAAAGGGGACAATGCACTCATTCACATGGATTTTAATTTGCTGTAAAAAATAATAAGAGACAATTAGCGCTTTTGCCATTTAAAGTGCTTGTTATTAACTTCTAGAGCAGTGGTTTTCAACCTTTGTGAGAACAGGGCCCGGCAAAACCTTCAATGCCCCCCAAGACAAATGTTTTAGGAATTAAATAATGGGTAGAAATGAGTAACTGGTATTTAACCACTTCAGGGCCACTGTATGTTATTCAACACCCTGGTCCTGAAGTGGTTACACCAAGATCATGCTGCTGCTGCTGCTGCAGCCATGATCTTGGTATAATTTGTTTCAGTTGACGATGCTCCTTTTGTACAAGTGATCTGGGTGGCTGTACAGACGTCCAGATCACTTGTGCTAGCCTGCATGTGTGGTTGCCTACGTACAAAAACGACAATCGCGCTACACATGTTGGATATCGCTGCGCACACCAGAGTTAGAGCAATAATTCCAGGGCCAATATTTACACGTATCTCTAAACTAATGACCTGTAGGGGATTTTAAATCTTTAACTATGGACTTTTTGGGGTACTGACTTTTGTCGCCATTTTACGGAGACACGCTATTTTTATTTTTTATTTTTTTCAAATCTCGGTTTATTGAGCAAGAAAAAATAAAACAATAGGTTGGTATATTATCAAATCGTAAAGGTCTGCACGCAGGCAACCAACTTGTTCAATATAACATACAAGAATGTACAAAACATAATGGTGTACCTAACTTCAAAACGAGGCAACACAGTTAAAGGCACAGTGAGAGACACGCTATTTTTAACCTGGGCGTGTTGAGTATCTATTTACTCATCATAACCTTATCTTTTATTTTGTATTTTAAAAAATGGGTATTTTATTGTGTTTTGGGGCACTAAAATTAAGTGAATTTTTCACTACATTTGTGGATTTGATAAAGAGTTGCGCTAATATCATGCAACATAAAAATTTGCAACTGCCACCATTTTATTCTACATGGTGTTGGCTGTCATAAAAATATCTAATGTTTGGGGATTCGAAGTCATTTGCAGGCTTAAAATTTGTATTATAACGTGTGCAAAAAAAGAGAAAAAGGCCTTGGCAGCGAAAGGGTTAAGGCCCCCAGTGGGAGAATAGTCCCCAACTCATTGGTGTCAATGGGATTATGGCCACCAGTGGGAGAATAGCCCCCAGCTCATTGGTGTCAGTGGGATTGGGGCTTCCATGGGAGAACAGCCCCTTAATTCATTGGTGACAGTGGGCCCAAGGAGAGAATAGCCCTGAAATCATGGATGTCAGTGCTTTCCAAAATTAACAGGTATGTTGGATAGCTTGTCCCTTTTGCATACTGTGGTTCTTCTCACCTGACGCTAAGTCACTTCAGGGCACAATAGTGAGGTATGTGTGAATAGGAGGAACCCCGGTGTAAAGTGGGGAACATGCTATCTGACACACCTGGAAGTAGTGGCAGTAGCGCATGAAGAATGTGCTACTGCCACCCACTGATAAGGTGAGTATTTTTACGGTGTTATTCTGCTGAAAATTCTGCCACCAAGTGACAGGGTCACTTTACCCAGGCCTCTCTCCTCCTATTGGGCAATGATTTCAGACATGCAGTACAGGCACTTTTGTAACTAAAACTATCCTAAACTAAGTGGATGTATCGTATTTTGTATTTCTCAGCCTCTCTGGGGCTTATCTTGTATCTCCCCTTTATATGTTTGTTATGTGTATCTATTCACACAGCATAAAAAAAATATTTTTTTCTAAAATATTTATCTTTTTAGATGTTTTGTTGCAGCAGGCAACATGGTTGATTTCCAGCCCCTTCACAATGATCTGTTCTATTAGAAAGACTTAGGACTGAAATTTGGAGATTATGTTTATGTATTTTATTAATCTCATTAACATACAATGCACAAGCCCCTCGCAACCCCTGCTAACATTACAAAAGAACAAGCAAGTAGAAATTTTAACCCTTAAGAACACAAAAAACCCTAACCCAAGTAAAAGGAATTTAGACTGCAAGAAGCATTTAAAAAAAATATTTTTTTTGCTTATGTGATGTGAATGGGAACAGATAACAAATCTAAAATAGGTGTTTACTCAATTTGGCTGTAAAAGTGGAAATACACTTTAAAATATGTAGCAATCATGAAGCGGGCTTACACTGTTGTACAGACACTGCCTGTTGCCTTCCTAGCAAACATGTCCTGTTCCACCCCCAGTGGCATAATGTGCATTGCTGTCACTGCATGCTGAAGGTAGGAGGAGCTTGTGGGGAAAGGCCACAGTAGCTAAGCCAGTGGCGAAAAGACTGCATAGGTACTATTAGCTGAAGGGAGATACCTATCGCACCAGGTTCAGTCTAGCCCATCAGAAGATCCTCCGGCAGGCCAGTGGTGTTGCAGCAGTCATTAAGCTGTGGCCCGGTGGGAGGGGGGCTGCTGGCCAAGGCCCGGTGTATGAGAAACCCTACATTATTATAAAAGCATCAGCATCACATTAGCTATTAATGCCTTTCTCCACATGTCACATGCAACTGAGCTCCAAGTTGTAGGAGAGGCTCGCAAAGTAAAGAGGTGGGCAGGGATGTGGGCAGAACATTAGGAAGGAGGTATAGAGCTGTGAGGGAGTTGTGAAAAAAAGTTACTAGTTTCTGTGCACAGTGCCTCTGCATGTGTGACTACAATGGGACACGTATGGAAGGCAGGAGGAAATCTGGACACAGGCATACAGGAAATGTATGTGAATGTGGTTCTTTGCATCTATTCAAAGGTATTTATGGGAAGTAAATGGATACAGAAATCTAAAGATACAGGGTGATGTCCAAATGGCATGCTGAAGCAAATTTGGCATTTCAGTTTTATGACTTAAGTGACACTTTAAAATGATTGTAGAATTATAATTTTTTTAAAGGGAGTAGTACAACACATGCTTGGAGGATCAACATGTGCCTCTTTGCATTTAAAAAGGACCTTAACAATATTTCTAACCAGTATAAATAATGTGGTAGGAACTGAAGGTGTTTACTCAGGGTACCACTTTTACATTTCATAGAGAGAAAAGAAAGATAATCCTAACCGTGGGAATGTGAATCCTCGTAAAATCCGCACACGAAAAGATGAATGGGAGAAGATGAAAATGGGCAAGGAATTTGAGGAACGTAAAGACAATCTTTCAATGTATGGGTAAGGTTTTTGACATTGATCAAATATTTTTTAATATTAAGAAACTTTTACTAAGATTTCATATTTTTATATTTTGTGCACTTTAGGGATCAGTTGAGTGAGAATGGAACCATGAGTCCTATTGATGGGGTAGATTTATCTCTGTATCCCCCACCTCCACCAAATGATGATATTATTCCAAGCCCACCACCAGTTCTCGATGACTCCCTGCCTCCTCCACCTATGGATTTTAGGTAAGCAACATGAATGAGCATTCATTTAATGACTTGGGTTCTAACTTAATAAAACTGTAGTTGTTAGAACTGTGTAGTTTGTATTCATATTTATTTCTTGTTCTTTGAGGGACACAGTGTTCAGAGACAATTAGGTTATACTGGCATCTACAGGAGGACACTGGCAAATAAAAAAAACAGCGACTAGCCTGGTATAACCCCTCCCACTGCCAGCTTTCTAGAATTCCTGAGGGGCCCTAAGCCTGCTAAAATCTTTCACATGCTCTTGCTTTTCCCAGCTGTCCTGTATGCAGACTGGGAAACTCCTTATAAACAGTTTACTCCTCCTAAACATTTTGCAGTCCAATAGCAGTTTGAGGAGTCCCTTATTAAGAAGTGGGCTGTTCCCACTATTGATCTAACAGTGACTCATCTTAATACAGCATTAATGATTCCTTTTGAGGATGCGCCAGTAAGAATCCCATAGATAAACATTTGAGGATGCTTTACTCTGACAGGTCCTGCATTGCATCCTGTCTTGGTTGTGATGTTAGCCTGTCATACATTAGGGGAATTGACTAAACTCATGAGAAGGGATCCAGCTTCCCTCCACACTGACCTATTTGTGGAGCGCTTAGAGCTCATATGCTGGCAGCCCTGTACTACTGTGTAGATGGTTTAGTGGTCAGCTTTTATTTCCTATATGAGTCTCCTATCAGTGAACATGCTGGGAACTTTTGGTTGAAATGTTAGGCTGTGGAGTTGGTTGAAATGTTATTCTGTGGACTAGGCATGTAAAAAAATGTTGCCTGCGCATGCCTTTCAAGGGACAACATCTCTTTAGAGGTGCCTGGACACCCTTTAGCATGTCACTGGGAGTAGTCCTCTACCTCAGCAGAAGAAGCTAAGGCCTCACGCTAGAAAGACTCACACCACCCCCCCTTTCTCCCCTTCCTTCCCAGGCCAAGCAGAGTTCCTTTCGTTACACCTAGGCTTCAATGTCTAAGGCCTAAACCAAGACACAACCCAGTTTCACTGCTCCATCTTGGATCTCAAGGCATTAAATGTGGTCATTCATGCCCCAAAATTCTGTATAGGATCTACCAGATCGGTCACAGCATCCCTCCATCAGGGAAAATGTGTGGCCTCTGGACACATACATGCATGTCCCTATTTTTCTAGCACATAGCCCTTCCATTTTGCCTGTCTCCCATATTCTATGTGTTCGCCAAGATTCTAGCCCCTGTGCTTGCCTTGTTCTGCTCCCAGGGCATCCCCATTGTGTGATATCTTGACCAACCTCCTGTTAAGGAATCATTTGGCACAAGTCCTGACCAACAGTTTGTAGTGGACAGTTACAGGATATTAGATTTCACTGGACACAGCCAACCTACTTTGCCCTTTACCAAGGAAGTAACATCTGGATTTGTTACAAGCTCTAGAAAATCATTGCAACTGTAGATATATAAAGCTAACTTTTTATATCCTTTTTATTGGGAAAGGTAGAGTTTTCTTTGAACGGGGTCTTATGGTTTTTAACTTCCCTTTCTCAAATGTATATAATGCAATATACTGTACTTACTTGGAACGCAGCTCTGAAGAGATTGCCGCGTGTGCTTCATAGCTGCTATTCAAAATCTCCCTGTCCTATGTTGCATCCCCATGCACATGACTCCCCAGACTCTACTGTCTTCCATGGAAAGCCCATTTCATCATGTCAGTTTGCTGATTAACTATCCATTGAAGTACACGAGTTTGTGGTGTGCATGTATGGGGCAAGATGCTGTACTGTGAAGATTTTGAAGAGTGATTGTGCGTTGCCAGACGGGCATTTGGCTAATATTTATCTAGAGCTACGTAGGGTTTGCTTAAAAGGATAAGTAAACTAAAAGATCATGATAGTATAAATAATCATACATTGTGAAACTAGACAGGCTGCATAATGGATCACATGATATCAGTGGGTAAAGCAGAAGTTGTGTTGCAATCAGCTCAAGTTGTCTGAAACAGTGTCAAACAACTGAATTTCTTAGCTTAATTTGGAAAACCACTTAAGTGATACATTTTTTACTGTGGTCTTATTTTTCTTTAATAATAAGTGCTTGTTATGTTTTTTTTGGGCCATTTCAATGTCTATTGTTTTGTGGGTGGTGGCTGCATAGTGACCAACTGTTTTGGAAACTGCTATTATTTTAAAAGGTGCAACATTTTGTGTATACACTCATGCATTTATCCAAAGTACATCTGACATTTGGCACCGCATTATGCTGTCCCCATTACTAGAGATGCACCGATACCGGTTTTTCGGTATCGAGTTCCAATATTTTTTTTCAGTACTCGCCGATGCTGAATACCGATACCGGAAGTCTCATTAAGGAAGCCTGGCTTCCAGATTAGCCTGGAAGCCGTCTCCATGCTCCCTCGTCACTAGGTGACGAGGGAGCATGGAGCCGGCTTTCTGTCCAATCAGGAAGCCGGGGGGCAGCAAATGACTCGCCGCCTGGCTTCCTGATTGGCTAGCTTCCCAACCAATCACGAAGGTGGGCGGTGAGTCATTACAAGGTGCCCGACTTCCTGATTGGCCAGGAAGCCGGCTCCATGCTCTCTCTTCAGCATGTGAGGGGGAAGCATGGAGCCGACTTTCTGGCCAATCAGGAAGCCGGGGGGCGGGTAATGACTCGCTGCCCGGCTTCCTGATTCACTGGCAATGGAGCTGGCTTCCCGGCCAATCAGGAAGCCGGGTGGCGTGTAGTGACCCACCGCCTGGCTTCCTGATACTAGAAGTTCTGGTATAGGGATAGGCAATGGGAGCATTTGGGCAAGTGTGAGTACTCGCACAAATACATAGTATTGGCACCAATACCGATACTAGTATCGGTGCATCCCTACCCATTACCACTTCACTAGATAGACAGTTATAGTCTTCATGGGCAGATGTGCCCTATATTAACCACTCCACAATTATGAGGAAGCAAGTGATACCATTGGCAAGTATTTGTGTACTTTTGTATTTGCTCTTCATAAAGTGTTTTAGACCTGAAAAGGCCTTTTGCCTCCTGTTCTTTATTATACTTTAAAATAAAGATTTTGTTTTGGATTTGTATTTACCCTTGAGCAGCTATGTTTGTTTGATTTTGAAATATTTCTGAAGCGACTATAAACCATAATTACAGCGTAAAAATAACTAAAGTTTTACTTATACCTTCAGCTCACCTGGAACTAGTAATCGAGCAAGTCTGATCAGTCCAGCCCACCCACCTCCAGCTCCTCCCATTAGTTCTCCAATTGGTGGAAGACCCAGTTTCTCTCCTCCTCTGGCACCTCCACCCCCGCCTCCAGCTGGAGTATTCCCAGACCCATCCTATCTTCCTCCCCCAAGTCCACCAGTATGCCCTCCCATGCCTGGCTTTCCTGCTCCTCCTCCTCCTCCTCCACCAGTGCCTTCAGTGATGGATTACTCTCCCGCATCGCCTAGCCATCAGTGAGCGATCCAAGGAATAACCTTTTGTCTGCAATCCGTCAAGGTATTTATGTGTTTCTATAATTTGTTCAGTATGGTATGACAATGGTATTTTGTTCTAAAGACACACAAATCCGCAATATGACCATATGATATTCAAATCATATGATTATCTGTGAATAATAATCACAACATTTCAGTTTAATATAAATGCAATCCCAGAACCATTTGTTTGATTCTTGTCCAGCTATTCTTTTTTTCCTCCTAACATAGAGTTGTCATATTTGTGTAGCCTAGATGGCTCTTACTTCCCTGACCTCTCTCTCTCTTCATTGCATCTCACTATGCTCTCATGAGGTTTGAGACAGGCACAAATGTCACTAAAACGTGGCTAATATGTGGGAAACTGCTGACATTACATAACCAGCAGACAAGGAATTTTGACTATGGATACCTAAATCCTCTGGTGGGCTCTTGGTCATTTGTTTACAGATGAATGCATATTTTATCCTATACCTGCTAGAGTTGGATGGTTCATAAAGGCTTTTGGTATTCTGGGGTATTTGAGGTTACTAGACTACAGCAATTTAGCACACACTGATGGATGGCTTACCTTTTAGGAAATCAATTGTAAAGTCTACAGTACAGTTGCATGTCACAGCTGCCTATTCTGCAGCTCATTCTAGGTGGGAATTAAGCCTAAATGGTAAATGGATGATCTGTTCCATCCAAGGAGTAGCAACACTCTTGCAGAGCTAGATAACATTTGGTTGTTATAGAACCAAAGCAAAACACATTTGGGTCTAATAGCATTGGAAGCAAAGAACATTTTTTTTTTCAATTTTATAGATAACCTCACAACCTGTAATGGCTAGGCTTTTCATTTCAGGATAATGTGCCAAGTCTAGACATCTTTTTATGCTATTGTGGCTATGACCAGTTCAGGATTACTGTGATCATCTCTGAATCTGTACACATGCCCTTAGCAGAGACGGTGTAGCCAAGAAGGGTACTTGGTACTTTTTCAAATGGTACTTCTGTTTGATGTAGAAACGTCTCCTTAGAGACACTAAAGCATAGTCACAGCCTGATGGAGTTTCCCTTTTTCTTACTAAAAACCTAAGATAAGTCACGAGATAGCTCTGACACACTAGTCAACAGGGAGGTGTTTGTAAAACACACTGAAGGAGGAAAGACCTTATTGAGAAATAGCTGTAGAAAAGAGGTGGCTCATGCTAAAATGGTGCATGAATTCCAGTTTCACTGGTGTTTATGAACTAGGTGCCAAGGTAGCCTTAAAGAAGATACTAGACTTATTGTAAAGGGCAGCAATGCATATGGAAGGAGGTTCCATGGTTGCAAATTATTGACTGTAACTGAGCAGAGTAGGAATGGTCTATTTAATTGGACAACTATAATATGATGCATGGTTACAAGTGATGAGCCAATTAAATTTTGGATGCTATGGACAACTAGAAAGCCTTAGTCCAGAAACAGTTTTCCTTGACAAAGGGCTTTGTAGAGAGAAAGATACAAGACATGGGGGAGGCCCTCTTCCTTTTGACCTAAGTAGTGGAGATTTTCTGCTTCCCAGCACAGCAAATAAGAAAGAGTTCCTTACTGGCACAGTAAAGGCAAATATTTGGCATTAATTGCACTCCTTTTCACTACGCCACACATGGTCTATTTGCATTTTCTCCTGAAAATCAATATCCATCTGAATACCCAATACAATAGATCTGGGGTGGAGGGGACATCTTATGTAGGGCTGCAACAACTAGTAATCGACATAATCGATTATAATCGATTATTGAAAAAGTTGTCAAATCTTATGTAGACAGCTCCTCTTTAATGCATTCTGACATGCTTTACTAGAAGATAAAGAACTTAGAGAGCCAGGACTTAGTTGCTAGTAACGCATACAGTCAAGAGCCCTGCCATACAGTAGTTAAGCGATCTATGCCCTTTAATTATCATAATACATTTTATTTGAAAGCTGTTAAGATTGGGTTTGACATGGATTTTGAAAAAATTGCCATACTGGGGTCACCAGTGTAACATGGCAGAATTAGTAATGACGTGAGCCACTGCAGGAGTAGAAATAGATCCACTAGAGCAGATGGAAGAGAAGCAGGTAGTTGGACAGGCTATATTTGTACCCAACTGATGTGACCTGCTTTAACTTGTTGAAGCCTGACACTGAGGCATTGCAGAGATAAATAAAAGGGATCCAGGTCCAGTCTCAACTTTCATGGATTGGAATGGACATTATATGCAAGGTTTACACCAGGCAACTAAACAAGGTAGTTTGGTTTTCACTGTATGAGACTCTCATGTTCCAGTACTCAGGTTTGCCCCTACAGCAAGTGATCCTTTTAAGGATAGGAAGAGTAACATTGAGGTTGCATTCAAGATAGGGCTGCAACAACTAATCGATTATAATTGATAATGAGAATCGTTGTCAACGATTCTCATTATTGATTAGTTGGTTTCGACTACTTGAATCTGTAGCCGCCACCGCTCTGTTCCTCTGTTCTCCTCCCCGCTGGTGCTGGCTGCAGTGGTCTGTGACCCTTTCAAATCCCTGCTGCTCTCCCGACCTGCATCGGCAGAGGGGACAGAGGCCGTTCCTCTGTTGGTTCCCCTCGTACCCCCTCTTCTGCCGGCGGTAGAAAGTTGGCTTCAAAAACTCCCTTTAGCGATTGGGAGCAATATCCAGTCTGCTATCGGCTATTTTAAATTGCAATAGCAGGCTGGCTATTGCATCCACCCACTGGCTGCTGACCATCAACAGAGTAGGACCTGAAGGAGAACTTTCCCTGGGATTTATAATAAATATATAAAGTGGCAAGCATCATTTTTGGTTTGAGCCTGAAAATTCTGCTCCGGGAAGTGCGTTGTGGTGCCATTAATTTCAATAAATCCCAAACGCCCCCTCCCTCCTGTATGATCAGCTGCACTGGAACGCGCGGTACTGCAATGCCATACGGTGCGAGTGTAAAAAATGTGCATTCCATTTTATTCTAAAGTAAACTTTGCTTGTAACACCCCATTTGTGTATTTCATATTAAATAAAACATGGTATTATTTAGATAGATCAGAGTAGGATTTGCAGAATGGGATTTCAAAGCACAGGTAGGCACCAGCACAGACTTTTGTGCTCAGATAATAGCAGGTGCACTGAGCAGAGCTTAGTTATACGTCAGTGGCATGCTTACAACTTGCCAGTACACAATTCTCTATTTTAGCCAGTAGATGGCACAGACAGACACTTAGGAAGAGTTTGGATGTATCACTGGTCTCTTATAGAAGAAAAGTGGAAGCTTCTGGTTCCTTGCAGCACATACGGCTCCATGACAGTATTCCCCCCTATAAAGTTTTGTGGATTTGTTCTTAGTGGTTTCTCTTAGGTTATTTGAAATACACAAAAGGTTATGGGGAATAAGGGATGTTTTTTAACATCTTCTCTGTTAATTAGGCAGAAATAGACAATCCCACTGTGTAGCTGTCATGTGTGAGGATTATTCATATTTGCCTTCTTAAGTGTCTTGGGATTACCTGTAATTTTCCTTGTGCACAATCCACTAGAGTGTGGTGTCAGTTTCTAAAATATCTGAGCCAAGGGAATATTCTAATGCTGATACAAAATAATGAATGATGATGTTCAGATGGTGTTGTTCCGAGTTACTCACTTGTAGCTTTGTGTATGTTTTCTTAGAAATTAAGTCACACTTTTTTTGCTGAAAATATTTAGGTACTTGTATTGGGTTTGACTAGATTCAGGAATACAAATGAGTAGGGATGCAACTAATTTTTTGCTACCAAAACAACATATCGGCCGAAAATGGTACTTTGGGCAAAATGCTAAAAGTCCCATCTTTCGGCCGGAATTGCGGTGCGTCCGTGATACCTCTCTTCCTCGCTGGGCACTGCTCTGTGTCCGCTCTGACACAAAGCAGCGTCCTGCGGGGAGGATAGAAACTGTCTGGAGGCCAAGTGGGGCGGGGAGGAGATGCTCTCCTCCTGCACTACCCTGCTCGGCCTCCTGTGACAGATTACGATGGAGAGCGGTGTGGGGGGCGAAGACAGCTGTGAGTTGCCACAGGGGGCAGAGCCTGCAGTGTGGGGGAGGAATCAGTTGTCAAAGGAGACTGAGCTTCCCTCCCACACTGCCAGCTAAGCCTCCTGTGACAGTGAGTCAGGATGGAGAGCGGTTACAAGCAGTCAGCGATCAGCTGATCGCTGACTGCTTGTAAAATATTGAGGACAGAGTATGCTTACTGTGTCCCCAATTATTAATGAACAGGAAGTGCTCTACATCACTTCCTGTGCATTCATGATTGTGGACATAGTAAACATACTATCTTCACGAGTTATGAATGAACAGGTAAACTCAGCATAGAGGCTTCCTGTTCATTCATAACAGGGGCTGCAGAAAAAGAGATTGAGGACTTTGTCCTCAATCTCTTTTTCTATTTTAAACAGACCCCTGATATTTCCCAGAGCCCCCGACTGTAAAGTTAAAAAATAAAAATATTTACTAAAAAATTAATAATAAATAAAATATTTTAAAAAAGAATTCCGGTCAGAAAATCCCATTTCATTGCACCTCTACAAATAAGTCTTTTGCAGCTGGCTCTCTGCTGGTTTTTCCCCAGTTGTTTATATTGTATATTTTACCCCTGTATATCAGTATTTATTTTAAAGTAATGTGTGTTTTTTTGATACCTTTGTGAGCCTTCCATATATTTTTTATTATACCTATCTTTTCTAGGTTTCCAACTGCGCAAAGTGGAGCAGGAGCAGCTGGAGCATGAGAAACGAGATGTTGGAGGTAATGATGTGGCCACTATCCTGTCTCGCCGTATAGCTGTGGAGTACAGCGACTCTGAGGACGACTCTTCAGAATTCGACGAGGATGACTGGTCTGATTAAGGCCATGAAGATTTGGTGTGGAGGGGAGGCCCAAGGATTTGCAGGACCTTTATTAGCTACACGCAAGACACTGCAACTGCTAACTTATTAATTCCAGGAGTGTGAGTTTGCCACTGGTGGAATAACATGCTGACCTATACTCTCCCAATTTAATAATATAGCTTTGGCACACAACTTTTTGCTCGGGATAGAGTGATTCTCAGTTATTTTGTTCAGTGACTTTTTCAGAAACATGCCTACAAAAAAAACTTCTTCTAACCAAACAGGGCATTACTTACCTTTCATAATAAGTGTCCAAATGTAAGGGATATATTCTTTGTAACACAGTTTACAGAGTGTGCTATAAATAGTAAAATGCAGTCAATACATCAAGCTGATACAAATGCCTTACATGTGCTGGTAAATATTCCCAGCTCATATATTAGTGCAGGCACTGCTTACGTGTGGGCTTTACACATCCCTTGTAGCAGTTTCCATTAACAATGTAATGCAGTTCTTTCTAACTGGAAAATTTGAAGTAATACTTTCAAAATGGAACGGTGTACATGGGACCTTACTGTGCCTATTAGACAAAACCAACTTTATTTCTTTACATTATGAAAATAATAGTGCCTTCAGATAATTATGCATTCCAGTTTTACTTTATGTAATAACAGGGACCTAAACAAGCATTCAGTTAGACAATAATATTGACTTTTGATGCACAATTCCTCTCTTCCTGGCCTATCTCATAATACAAAGCCCTCTCAGAACACAAAGGTCTCCATGTTTCTATTATTGAACCTACGCAGGAAACTGCTTTAGTGATCTGTAGAAGTCATCCTGCCACAGAGGCACGGTAGGCTAACGAATGCAGTTTCTCTCTTAAATTGTGGTGAGCTTTATGGGGGGGAGTGGAGACATGACACATCTAGGTGATAAACCTGAAAAGCATCCTTAAAGGTTGGGATTCTTTAGCATTTAGGGAAACACTTTCACACCTATGTGGAGGCACCTCAGGTGCTTCATACATTAGTAAAATCGGATGCACATTTTACATACAGGTTGATTTAGGTCACTACTTGGAAAAGGTGTAAATGGTCAAAGAGCAACCCCTGGGGTTGGAAATCACAATGATTATTTTAAAGCTAGTGACTTTTTTTCCTGGACAGTTTCCTGGGCACTTTCATAGGCAGTGATAACTGTAATGCATCATGAGTGAATGTAATGTAGTGGGGTTAGAATATTACATTAATAACGTGAAAATAAGGAGTGAATTTCTGAGGAGCAGGTTTGAGACTAGACTATACATATATTATTGATTCTATTATTGTAAGTGTATCCCTACCTATATGTCTAATTAACACACATATATATATA